CTCCCAAATACATCAAGATGTTTGTGTTAGACGAAGCTGATGAAATGTTGAGCCGTGGATTCAAGGACCAGATTTACGACATATTCCAGAAGCTCAACAGCAACACCCAGGTGAGGAAAACTACCATCTTACTGGTAATAGCCAGTGATTTCCTTAATTCAATTAAGGCTGCCTAATCTAATTAGGCTAAAGGGTGACCAATAACATCTTAGGACATTTCATAGATTGTCTTTTTTCCAATAGGTGGTTTTGTTGTCAGCTACAATGCCTTCTGATGTGCTAGAGGTGACCAAGAAGTTCATGCGGGACCCCATTAGGATTCTCGTCAAGAAGGAGGAGTTGACCCTGGAGGGTATCCGCCAGTTCTACATCAATGTGGAACGAGAGGTGGAGTGTGGTGTGGGAGGTGAGCCTGGTGGTGAGGCATTGGGTATTGCCCCTGGCTGATTCATTTATTTTGATTTATTTTTTTCCTATCTCCAGGAATGGAAGCTGGACACGTTGTGTGACTTGTATGAGACCCTGACCATCACCCAGGCAGTCATCTTCATTAACACCCGAAGGAAGGTTGATTGGCTCACTGAGAAGATGCACGCCCGAGACTTTACTGTCTCTGCCATGGTGAATTTTCTTCCTTGTCAAAAGCTTTATCAGTGCCGTGTTTTCTCAGAACCCCTGTGCCTGCCACTCCATATATACCCTTTTGTTCCATCTTCTATCTAGCATGGAGATATGGACCAAAAGGAACGAGATGTGATCATGAGGGAGTTCCGGTCTGGCTCCAGCAGAGTATTGATTACCACTGACTTGCTGGTGAGTAAAAGGGTATTCTGAAGACTGGGGGAGAAAAGGACACTCCAAGGTGATTCCCTCTCCAAGGGGCCAACTAGTGCCCCTTTCAGGAAAGTAGCAACTTGGAAGAGAATATGGCATGCCTAAGGTCTCTGGGAGACAGGGGATTCTTGTTTCCTTTACCTTCCTTTGGATGCCTACAGGTGTATTGAAGTCCCTCTGGATATATTGTATGATCGGTCACGAACTGAACATACCATCTTTTTTACACTAGGCCAGAGGCATTGATGTGCAGCAGGTTTCTTTAGTCATCAACTATGATCTTCCCACAAACAGGGAAAACTACATCCACAGGTGAGTAGGTCAGGAATACTTGTCCAACCCCCTTGCCTAATGCTCCTTGAGCTGAAGCTTTTGTGATTACTTGTCCCTCTTCCCATTGCATTATCCGTATTTTCCAGAATCGGTCGTGGGGGCCGTTTTGGCCGTAAGGGTGTGGCTATTAACATGGTGACAGAAGAAGACAAAAGGACTCTTCGAGACATCGAGACTTTTTACAACACCTCCATTGAAGAGATGCCCCTCAATGTTGCTGACCTCATCTGAGACGGGCTGTCCTGCTGTCCAGCCCCAGCGAGAGTTCAGCCTTGGGGGCGCTGAGGAGCACAGCTGGAGGGGGGAGGGAAGGGAGCCAAGGGATGGACATCTTGTCAATTTTTTTTCTTTTTTCTTTTTTTTTTTTTTTTTTTCTTTGAATAAATGTCACTTTTTGAGGCAAAAGAAGGAACCGTGAACATTTTAGACACCCTTTTCTTTGAGGTACACTCTTGCCCCGGCCCCAGGCGCCGTCTCCCCTCAAAAAACACTAATTCATTTTCCTAACCTAGTGGCCTGCAGGTCCCAGAGGCTCTCCCTCCTCTGACCAAATCCCTCTGGAAAATTCAGGGGGGTGTGTAACATGTTAACTTGATCTCACTTGCTGGACCAAATCTCCTGAGGTTGCCTGCAGGGGATGTCCCCAGGTGGGGGGAGCAGGGGAGAGAAAATGGTAGCCATTTTTACATTGTTTTGTATAGTATTTATTGATTCAGGAAACAAACAACAAAATTCTGAATAAAATGACTTGGAAACTGCCTGTTTGGGCTGCTTATTTCTTGGCCTCTCCCACCCGCCACTTGGGTATCTCTTCTCCCTGCTTATTCAGTGCTTCTTTTATCTTGTTTCCTTGATACGTTTGCTTAAGCACTACCAGAGGATAAGACCTTTCAAGATGGTAGTGTGTATGGTGGCACACAACCGATCCCAGCATTCTGGGAGACTGAGGTGAAAGGATCACAAGGCTGAGGCCAGCCTGGACACTCAGGACAGCGTGATCATCTGAAAGGCTGAGACACTGCACATTGTCACAAGTGCCTCACATGCTTCAGCCAAGAGGAAGTACAGGGACAGAGGAAAGAGCTGGGTGATGGTACAGGGCTGTGATCCCAACTTGGGGTTGCTGAGGCAGGAGGGTCGCTGTTGGGAGTTGCCTGAATTGCACAGCAAAACATGAGGGAGACCACTGCAGGGGGGACCTGTCAGCAGGCCCTGTAACCCTTGTTCTGCTGAGTGTTTTGCTGAGGAGACACGGGTTCCCATGAATCAACTGTCCCAGAACTCCCGGCTGTACTCACATGATCCCTTTGACTTTGCCCTAATAACTTCCCACTTGTGAAGCCAGAGCCAATGGTTCTCTTACTTTGATTATGAAAGATAATGACCAAGATTGGTAGCTAGAGCTAAAGTGCCTGAATCAGGTTGGGGGCGGGGTTATTTTACAGGAAGTGAAACACTTTTTCTCCTATTCCAAGAGAAGACAGGAACTAGAGTTGAACAACTGGTGCGGGCACAGCCTCATTGGGTTTGGGCGAGGCGGTTCTGTCATGAGGTTGGCTGTGCTGCTCTTGGTCTCTCTGGGGCTTCTAACAGGTAAGGAGAAAGTGGGACGGAAGAGAGGGAGCCCCTGAGGAGGAGCCTGCCCGGGGTTGCTAACCAGTCTCTCTTGGCTGAAAGCCCAGGGAACAGAGATTCACTGGCCTCACAAAAAATCAGCCACTCTGCTACCATCCTTCACGGTGACACCTACAGCTACAAAAACAGTAAGGCCTACAACCAGCCACGGACCCACCACCACCAGTCATGGAAATACCACGGTTCACCCAACAAGCAACAGCACTGCTACCACCGCTGGACCTACGACCGACACTCACAGTACTGCTGCCACTACCAGTCCTGGAAATGCTACTCGTCACTCCACAACAAGCAATGGCACGGCTACCAGCCCAAGATTCTTGACCAGTTCCCCCACGCTGGGACCACTGCCACCCTCTCCAAGTCCTAGTCCAGGCTCCAAGGAGGCTATAGGAGACTACACGTGGACTAACGGTTCCCAGCCCTGTGTCCAGCTCCAAGCCCAGATTCAGATTCGGGTCCTATACCCTACCAAGGGTGGAGGAGAGGTAAAGCTAAAACTCTGCGGCTGAGAGGGACAGGAAGCAAGTCCTGTTGTGGTTGAGAGGGGAGGAGGAAGAGCAGGTAAGGAAGTACTGGGCACAGTAGTTAACATTTGTAATCCCAGCACTTGAGTGGCTGAGACTGGAGGGTTGCTGTGAGTTCAAGCCCAGCCTGGGCTACATAGTTCAAGGCCAGGCTGAACTATTCAAAAAAAACTATTCAAAAAAAAAAAAAAAAAAAAGCTGGGTGTGGTGGTGCACATGCCTGTAACCCCAGCACTCTGGAGGCTGAGGCAGGAGGATTGCTGTGAGTTCAAGGCCAGCCTAAACTGCAACGAAGACCTTATCGCAAAAAAGAAAAAAAAAAAGTAGATGAGGGAACAGGGAATCTTGGATGACATGGAATTGTAGTCTTAAGACCCTCTGCTCTTTAACTTCCACAGGCCTGGGGCATCTCTGTACTGAACCCCAATAAAACCAAGGCCCAGGGAGGCTGTGAGGGTGGCCATACCCATGTGCTTCTCTCATTCCCCTACGGGCATCTCAGCTTTGGATTCAAGCAGGTATAGTTCCACACCCCTCAGCCTCCACTCACCCTCTCAGTATTCCATCCCTATCAAACCTTGCCTCCCTCCTTCCTCTGTGACACGGACACCATCCCCCTGCCACCCTGAGCCTTCCTGTTCACCTCCCAGGACCTGCAGCAGAGCAGGAGTGTGGTCTACCTGAACTACGCTGCTGTGGAATACAATGTGTCCTTCCCCCAGGCAGCCCGTGAGTAACCTTCCCTTCCTCATTGCTTGCTTGTCTGGGCTCCTGAAGGGATGAAGCTGGGGCAGGGAGGTTGACAGGACCTGACTCTTCCTCTCCCCTTCAGAGTGGACATTCGCAGCTCAGAATTCATCCCTTCGGGATCTCCAAGCACCCCTGGGGCAAAGCTTCAGTTGCAGAAATGCCAGCATCCTTCTTTCTCCAGTTTTTCACCTTGACCTCCTCTCTCTGAGGCTACAGGCCGCTCAGCTGCCTCACACAGGAGTTTTTGGGCCAAGTAAGACCTGTCTATCCCTCCCTCCTACCGTTCTCCCACTGTGCTAGAATCCTCTTTTGCAGGGCCAGATCTCTCTTATTTATTTATTTATTTTGGGGTCTTTTTGAGACAGGGTCTCGCTATGCAATTCAGACTGGCCTTGACCTCACTTTGTAGCCCAGGCTGGCCTGGAACTCACAATGATCCTCCTGCCTCAGCCTCCCGAGTGCTGGGATTACAGGCGTGTGCCACCACGCCTGGCTAGAGTTTCTTTTTTTCTTTCTTTTTTGAGAGAGGGTCTTGCTATGTAGCTCAGGCTGGCCTTGAACTCATTATGTAGCCCAGGCTGGCCTTAAACTCGCAGAGATCCTCCTGCCTCAGCCTCCCAAGCACAGGGATTACAGGTGTGCGCCACCACGCCCAGCTCAGACCTCTTCACTTAAAGCCCAGACTTCTTCCTACTCTTGGGCTTGTCATGGCAACTGCGCAACTGTGCTCCCCTTGTTTACAAGAATTTCCCAGAGGCCACGGGATCTTGCCCAAAATTAAATTAAATACTAAATACCATAAAACTAAACCACAATAAAAGCTGATTGATTTAAGAATATACCTCTTTCCCCCTTTTACCTACTGCTGAGTTCTGGGGTGAGATGCTCCCCAATCTCCTTCCAGTAACCCCACTTCCTTGTTCCCCCATCCCAGCCACCGCTAATGGAATGCCTACTTGCCCTCTTTCTGCCAGGTTTTTCTTGCCCTGGAGACCAGTCCATCATGCTGCCTCTCATCATTGGCCTGACCCTGCTTGGCCTCCTCGCTCTGGTGCTTGCTGCCTTCTGCATCATTCAGAGACGCCCATCTGCCTACCAGGCTCTCTAAGCATTTGCCCCCATCAGAGGGGCTCCAAGAGGCACCCTCATTTCCTCACCATGCAACCAACTCACAAACGAAGTTACCATTCTTCACTGCCCTTCCTTTTTTTTTTTTTTTCTTCTTCACTGTCCTTCTGAAGAACAAAACAGTTACTGCAATTGGGAGACAGAAGGGAAGAGGTTTTATTAGAGGCAGCCCCCGCGCCAGCAGGAAAGTAGTAAAACCTACTCTTTTTTGGTACCGGGAATCGAACTCACAACCTTGCCCTTACCAGGCAGGTGCTGTGCCGCTGAGCTAAATCCCCAGCCAGTAAAACCTACTCTGTCTTTTGTTTCCCTTGTCCTGCCAGGATTAAAAGTGTAAATTTCTTGTTAAATGCCTTTGTGTCTTTTCATAGTTGAATCACAGGAGGCCAAAAACAGCTGGTAAAGAGGGATGAAAATAGTACTTGACTAAATGCCCTCAAGGGTTCAGCTGCCCCAAGGCCCGGAACAGGTGATGTTAAATATACCACTGCTTCCTTCTTTCCCAGATTATTTCTGGAGCCACTGGCTGCCCGCCTCTCCTCCAACCCAGTGGAGTTGCCCACCTTGGCAACCATCTTTCCAACTCTCCTGTACAATTACAGGTACAGTGGACTGGCAAAGCAGTGCACACATGGCTTATTTCATTTCCAAAGATAAAGCCAGTGGCTCCAGAGCAGTAAGAATTCTCTGTCCAAACTGGGTGTGGTGGTGCATGCCTGTAGTCCCAGCACGCAGGAGGCTGAGGCAGGAGGATTGCTCTAAGTTTGAGACCAGGCTGGGCTATTGAGTTCAAGGCCAGCCTGAACTACATACGGACAGCCTGTCTGAAAATACAATAAAGCTGCTTATAAGAATTCCCTGTCCACTGTGTCCTGTGCTAGATAAGCTAAAGAATTCACCGCGAAGGACTGCATCAGCCACAGGAGCAGCGGGTACTGTGACCTCACACACAGTTGTTTTCTGTATTACTGGGAAGACCATCGCCCTCAGCCTAGCCACACCCCAAGCTAGCCCTGACGTCCCCAGTACCTGGGGGGAGGGGGGAGTCACCCTCAGGGCAGCCGGACTGTAAAAGGGGCTTCCAAGCGAGGGGTGCTCGACAGTGTGAAGGCCAGGTGCACCTCCATCACGTTGGCACACCATGGGCTGGGGGTCTGGCGCTGGGGGCCGAGCATAGCACACACACCAGCTAGTCCAGGGTGCCCTTTTCACAGCACAGATGTTCAGCCTACTCAGCCTTGCGCGCCAAGAGACAGGGAACTACAGGGCTACAGTGCCCCCACCCATCGCCATTTTGGAGACATACTCCCTTTCTCTCAACTGCACAATACAAATTTGGTTAAGAGAAGACAAGATGGCGCCTAGCAGGAGTCGAGAAGAAAGGCCAAAGGATAATTCTTGCTTCGGAACTGCAACAGTAAACAAAGGGGTGGGAAATCTAAACTGCGCAGACGCACTGCTCGGGGTCGGGAACACTTTAAAATTCCAACGGTAGGCCGGGTCCGAAACGTGGTCTCTGATCTTAAGCTCTGCCTCCTAAATCGGGTGAGGCGACAGGGTGGGCGAATAGGAGACCGCGCAGTTCCCCGCGGAAAGGGAATCAGGGGCGGGGAACGCAGAGCGCGCATGCGCACTGTAAGTTAATGGCGGGCTCCAGAACTGGCGGAAGCTCGCTTTCCAACATGGCGGCTGAGACAGATCAGCTGCTCAAACGGGTGCTGGTGCCAGTTCTTTTACCTGAGAAATGCTACGACCAACTTTTTGTCCAGTGGGACGTGCTTCATGGTGAGTTTTATTCTCCAATCAAAGTCTTATTCGAGCATCCTTAACCGTGACTGGCTATTAAATGACGGCAGTGGCTGCGGCCACTCTGATCTGGGCGGAAGGTGCTTCTTAGAGGGGCGGAAGTGGGTTGGACCCCTCGCAGGGAAGACGCCATATTTGGGCAAGAGAGTGAGCCGCCGGATGGAAGTACATTTGGAGGTTTCTGCGTGAGCGACGAGGAAGGATGAGAAGGCTTTTTTTTTTTTTTTTTTTTTTTGAGACCGGGTCTCGCTATGCAGTTCAGGCTGGCCTTGAACTCACCTTGTAGCCTAGGCTGGTCTCGAACCCGCAACGATCCTCCTGCCTCAGCCTCCCGATTGCGGGGATTACAGGCGTGCGCCCCCACACCCCGCAAGAAGGCTCACTTTTAACAAAACAAAATTTAAAATATGATCAAATAACTCTAGGCTTTAGAAGATCGCTGGTAGAATTAAATTTAATTAAAAGCCTGTGATGAATCAGACCTTCTTGTTCCCTCAGAGGCATCTCTGACCCCAGTTGCTTCCAGCCTGCATGTTAATTCATAGTCTAACTTTGGAATAATTTGCCTTCTTTCCCGTTTGCTGGGCATCTCTACAGCAAGGCCTGCCTCAGATGTTGAGAGGACTTTTCCTACCTACCCCTGTCAGTTCGTAGCAAGACCCCCACACCCAGGCTCGTGGGACACTGTTCAAGTTCTCTCATAACCTATGAATGTCTGGATCTCACTGAGCCAAGTTCCTTGAGGACGTGGGTAAAGGCTAGAGAAATTATAAAAGCAAGACCTGGAGGGTAGGACTAAGCCTCTGATTAGAGTCAGGGAGAGAGTTCAAGAATGAATGGAAGGAGGGCTGGGGATTTAGCTCAGCGGCACAACGCCTTCCTGGCAAGCTCAAGGTCGTGAGTTCGATTCCTGGTACCGGAAGAATAAAAGAATGAATGGAAGCGGGGCCTGGTGGTACATGCCTGTAATCTCAGCACTGGGGAGGCTAAGGCAGGAGGATTGTTTCGAGTTCGAGACTAGCCTGGGCTACAAAGTGTGTTCAAGGCCAGCCTGAACTGCATAGTGTGACTATGTCCCAAAGAGACCAAAAAAAAAAAAAAAAAAAAATGGTATTGGGCCGGTGATGTAGCTCAGCAGCACACGTCTCCCTGTCGAGGCCCTGAGTTTGATTTCTGGTACCAAAAACAAAAAAAAAAATGGTATTAATCCCAGCACTTGGGAGGCTGAGGCAGGAGGATGGCCATGAGTTTGAGGCCAGCATGGACTACATAGTGAGTTCAAGGCTGGCCTGGCTACATTGCAAGACCCTATCTAAAAACAACAAAGAATGAGTGACATGGAAACCTGTCCCTGGAGAGAATGTGTGAAGTGAGTGGCCAGTTGATAAGAGGAGGGAAGAAGGAGAAGGGAATTCTTCGGCATGGCTCATAGTTATTCAGGGAAGAACTGGGGAGCAGAAGACCTTGTGTGCAATGGAAGGTTTGTGCAAGGGAGGACATTAGCTATTTTGGAAGGTCACCTAGATTGATTATGAGATGGCAAGGTCCTGAGTTCGATCCCCCGTACCAAAATAAAAGTAAAGTAAAAATAAAAAATGACTATGAGATGGTTTGGAGCGAGAAGGACCAGGCCTTTTCCCCCCATCTTCCCACCTCCAGACCAAGACTTCCTCTGTGTGAACATGACAAGCTGAGGGCGTAGATAGGGCAACCCACAGAACACGTCAGGTCCTTGGCAGGGTTCCAGAGGGATCATACTTGCCTCTTTCCTTTTCTCAGTTCCCTGCCTCAAGATTCTCCTCAGCAAAGGCCTGGGCCTGGGCATTGTGGCTGGGTCACTTCTTGGTATGTACATTTTCTTTCCTGCTATCAGGATAGGGGCGGAGGTACTGAGATGCCAGAAACTGTGTGGTTCTTTAACTGTAAATGGGTTAATTGTGCTTCCCAGTCCCTTCTCAGGCTGTCGCATTGCGTTGTGCCCCCAAGGACTGCCGGCTCCTTAACCCTGCCCCTCTCATCTTTTTGCCAGTAAAGCTGCCCCAAGTATTTAAGATCCTGGGAGCCAAGAGTGCAGAAGGGCTGAGTCTCCAGTCCACAATGCTGGAGCTCATGGCATTGACTGGGACCGTGGTCTACAGCATCACCAACAACTTCCCCTTCAGGTGAGGACCCTGCCCTGTGTCCTCAAGAGCAAATGGGTTTAAAGTGAGGAAGGTGAAAGGGTAGGAAAGCTTAAGCTCGTCCAGAAATCTAGTCTTCAGTGGGAGCGAGCATCCCAAGGGTACCCACACCACCACGAGGCAATCACAAACGGGGCTGTGGGCTACAGAGCACAGGGTTGTGTCCGATGGATGGGCGATGGCGGCTTTCCCTGCCTTTCCAGGCCTGCCTTTCTTCCTCCCAACTCTTGACCCTGCAGCTCTTGGGGCGAAGCCCTGTTCCTGATGCTCCAGACAGTGACCATCTGCTTCCTGATCATGCACTTCAGAGGACAGACTGTGAAAGGTGCTGGGGGCTTGCTCAGGAGCAGGCTGTGGCTTCTTGGGAATCCTGCTGGGAACTCGGGCCTGGGGAGGCCACAGGACGGAATTGGTTGATGAAGGCTTCTTGTCTCCCTGCCCCCCAGGAGTTGGTTTCCTAGCCTGCTTCGCGCTGATCCTGCTGGTGCTGCTTTCACCACTCACACCCCTGGCTGTGGTCACCCTGCTGCAGGCCTCTAATGTGCCCGCCGTGGTGGTGGGAAAGGTGGGTAGGAGAGCAAGGGGAAGGATGCTGAGGCGGGACAGGGCGGAGGGCGGAATGGAAGCCCAAAGGGGATAGAGGATAGAGGGAAATGGTGATGGGAGCATGGGGAAGGCCCAAATGACAAAACCAAAGATGTCAATTCCTCCCCTAGCTGCTCCAGGCAGCCACCAACTACAGCAATGGGCACACAGGCCAGCTCTCAGCGATCACAGTCTTTCTGCTATTTGGGGGCTCCCTGACCAGAATCTTTACTTCCATTCAGGTGAGTACACCTTCTACCCTCTAGAGGGCACCAAAACCCCATTTTACACCCACTCAAGGACTAAATCTGTCCCGCCTGAAGCCTTTGTCCTTAAGGAGGCTTTTTTTTTTTTTTAAGACAGGGTCTCTCTATATAGCCCATGCTGGCCTTGAACTCCTGATGATCCTCCTGCCTCAGCCTCCTGAGTGCTGGGATTACAGGCTTGTGCCACTACACCTGGCTATGTAGCCTGCCTTGTGTTGTGCTAAAAAGGATGACCCTGGCTATCTCTTACAACCAGGAAACTGGAGACCCCCTCATGGCTGGAGTCTTTGTGGTCTCCTCCCTCTGCAATGGCCTCATCGCTGGCCAGGTCCTCTTCTACTGGAACACAGAGCCTCCCCACAAGCAGAAAAAGGAGCGGTAGAGCTGAGCCAGCTACTGGAGTCATTCCGTGTTTCCATTCCTCTGCCCAACCTGAGGGTCCTCCCCACTGTCCAGCCTGTCTGTGACTTTCAGTCCTCCCCTCCTCAGCAATTCCAGCTTTCTGAGCCAGGGCTTTTTAGTGGGAGCTGGTAGCTGATGGGCCCAGATCCTTAGGAGAGGACCGTGGTAGCATTAACACTTTTTGATATTAAAGGTCCATCCTCAGTACCACAAAAAAATCCACGGCTTCTAAGGCCTGTGCATGTGCTATTACCTCATTTTATCATTTGGCTCCTGCAGCAGCAGTTTCCAGCTATTTCTGTCTCTATCCCAGAACAGTCTCTTGTCCTACCCTGTCACCTCCCCACTGCTCTTGTGGCCTTAGAGGACTGACAGAGCCCAGACAAGGGACTGGAGGGGACTCGGCTTGCGGTGGCCCCCTCCCCCTGTACCCCAGTGCTGGTGGAGGGGAAAGGGGACTGAATGACTCAGGCAGGGCCCCGGGGTGGGGTGAGGAGGTTCCTGCACTGGCAGGTCCAGGCGGAAGGGATTGGAAGTGGTGCTGGTTCCCGCTGCAGTGAGTGAGGGGAATGAAGATGGGACACAATAAAGACACAAACACCTGGCTTTGTCATACAGAATTGTGTTACATGGTGGTTTTGCTGGCCTTGGCTTTCTTGGGAGGACTGCAGGCCTCTGAGTGGTAGTTCAACATAGGAAAGGATTTTCAGCCTGGGGTTGGGGGTGATTCTGGGTGGGAGGAAAGAATGCAGCCCTCACTGGGAGGTCCATGCCGTTTTTAGAGGTGGGCTAGGGGCATGGGGGCACCAGGACTGTAGGGAGTGGGAGACCCTGGAGGTAGGTAGGGGCTGTAGGGCGGGAGAAGCTCCCCCTGGAGCCTGGGGTCACTCTGAGGTAAGGAGCTCGGCGAGGGGGCCTCCGGTCTACAGTGGGAAGAGCTGCAAAGAGAAACAGGAAGTTAGAGGTTACCTCTGGGTTGGAGGGGCTGAGCAGTGGCCCCCACTCTCAGGTGGACTGGTCTGACCAGTTTGGGGCAGACAGAGGTAGAGCCCGCCACCCAGCCATGCTGGCTACAGCAAGGCATGGGACCAGACCTTCGGATGGCTCGGAGAGGCGCACAGCCCTGTTGGGGCATGCTCAGGAGCAGCAGGCTTGCGTGCTGCGCGGCTGTTTTCCTCTTTTGGGGCGGCAGGCCAGGAAGGAGCAGGATGGGCTTGGCCTCTCCTTGCCCTGCGGGCTGGGAGAGGAAGCCGGGTCACACACGGGCCAGAGCAGGGGGAAATGGAGCACGCTGGTAGCTAGAAGTGTCATATCCAGGGGTCACTCGCCCCTGCAGGACTGCCACCTCCAGGGTGAGATGGAAAGACCCCGCGGGTGACGACCGTCCAACCTAATGAGGAGTGGCCTGTTTGAATGGACACTCACACCGGCCCGCCCCTTCCCAGGCACTCACCCATAGTTGCCGGGTAGGTAGGGTGTCGAGTAGTTGGGGGGCTGGTACCCAAAGGCTCTGCTTCCTTGGGTGGTTGTATATCCCGGACTCCAGAGCGGGCCGCCGCAGGCCAGGGCGCCGCCTCCCGGACTGAAGACAGGCCCGGCGCCCGAGCTCTTGGTCTTGCGCCGCGGCCGGTACTTGTAATCCGGGTAGTCGCGTAGGTGCCGGGCGCGCAGCCGCTTGGCCTCCTCCACGAAGGGCCGCTTCTCCTCTTCGCCCAGCAGTTTCCACTGCGCGCCCAGGCGCTTGGAGATCTCAGAGTTGTGCATCTTGGGGTTCTGCTGCGCCATCTGGCGGCGCTGAGCGGAGCTCCACACCATGAACGCGTTCATGGGCCGCTTCACCTTCTCCAAGGGAAGCCCCCCGGAGACTACGGGGCTCCCGGCTCCTTCCTGCTCTTGGGCTCCCGGAGCTGAGGAGGGCTCGGTAGTAGGAGCTGGAGGCTCCAGGTTCCAGGCGTGGGTCTGTGAGGAGCCAGGTAGCGCCATGGGTGAGGAGAAGCCTTAGGAGGGCGTCCTGAATTGAATGCCCTCCTCTCAAGTGAAGCTGGGACCTTTGAAGTGTGTCTTCCCAGTCTGGAGTCGTGGAGAACCCGGTTCTTAAAGTGTTATCACTCCCAGCCCGGAATCCCAGGAGCCTTTGGTTGCAACCGCTCCGGCACACTTAGGACAGAGTGGAGGGCGACCGCTGGGTCCCGCACGCCTGCACCAGAGAGGTCAAGCTCGGCGTTCCTTCTAGCTCTTACGACCCCAGCCGCTCCTCTCGCCTGCCCCCTGCTGCGGGGCGCCACGTCCGGTGGAGGTAGACTTACCCCTGCCCCCGGGCGCTCCGGAGCTGCGCAGCTGCCGGGCCACAACCCAGGTGCCGCGGGCCTCCCACCTGCACTCCGCGTCTGTGGCCGGCGGGCCGGGCTCAGGAACTACTTGTGAAGACTAACTCCTCCCCAGTCCCTCCCAGACTGCGCCAACGTCCCCCTCCTTTAGGCAAACCCAGGTGTCCCGTTCTTCCCAGCCGCAACACCTCCCCTCCAGGTACCACGCCCCCTCCCCACCCTAGGTGCAGTTGTCAGGCCTTCCAGCCCAGTCGCTGCGATTGTCTCCCTCCTCTCTTAAGCACCGGCAATTTAAAGTCAATGCCTTTCCACAGCCGGATGAAGCGAAGCACAGGGGCAGCCAGTGCCCTCGGGGTAGAGTTGTGTTAGGAGGAATTTGGGAACATCTCATTCCCCACCCCAAACGCTTTTCTGGTGCCTACGGCTGCTCCAACGCCTGACCTGCCCGTGGGGCAATCAGGGCAGTCGGAGGAAGGCCATTTTTATTTCCTGAGTCATGCCAGCAGGTGCTTGGGCTGTGTTCGACCCTTCTTTCAGGTGAGAAAACTCAGGCTCTTCCACCTCCAGCCCCAAGCCTCTGAATTTCGGCAGGTTTGATCTTCGAACACAAGCCAGGAGGCCGGGGGCCAGGCGACAGTTCCCAAGAGCTGAATTTGAGTGATGTGGATGCCAGAGCCACAGTACACTAGCCAGAAACGGGGCCCAGACCCCCGGGTCCTAGAGGTTGGGGGAACCCTGCTTCCCACTCTGCTCACAGCCCAGCCTGTGCCCCAGGCCACAAGTAATCCGATTAAGCAGCTGCCCACCCTGGCTCTTGCTCCTCGCAGGCACAGCTCTAGCTGAGCAGCCCTGCCGAGCCGAGCCATGACTCAGGGCACAGGAGGGGCCCAGCTCCCTCTACCAGGAGGGGCAGGGGTGGGCAGGACGGTCTGAACCATCTGGGAACCAAGAGAGTACCTGGGCCTGGGGGATTCAGAAACGTCGTAAGTTCCAGCCTGAGAATAAGCCTAGTGTGGAGGAACGGACCACGGCCAGGGACCAGTGCAGATTTAGTCCTAGAGAATCAAATGGATCACTGGGAAGAAAGGCACAGGAACCACAGAGCCATTTGGATTTTTTTATTCTCTTTTTAAATACTGTACAGTGAAAAATAAATACGCCTTCTCATCCACCAGACAAGGTTGGCCCCGCCCTCCCCTGGGGGGCCTTGTCATCCCCCTTCATACACACCCCTGGTTCTACTCCAAAACCTTCCCCATGCCTCCCACCCATGGATACCCTCACTATCCCCGTCTTCCACAGTGATGAGGCCCCAGAAACGGGGTATAGGATGGGAGGAGGGATAGCAGGGGCCCCCCCTGAACTGTCAAATCTGGGTGGGTCAAGGAGCACCCCCACCCACCAACAGGTGGAAAATGAGGGTGTTCAGAGGTTGGGGCATTAGAGGATAAAGGCACATCCAGTCTGATGGGGAAGGGGGGGCTCCCCTCACCCTGGGGAAGAGTGGACAAGAGAGAAGGGGCTATGACCCTGTTACACACCCCTCCACTAGCTCCTGGAGGTTGGGGGGGACCCAAGCTGCTGTGCCACCCCCCTCCCCCCTAGATAAGAGCAGCTCCAGCGCAGGTCAGTTGGGCCTGTGAGGCCCATGGTGGTGGGCAGCAAGCGAGATGGAGAAGGGAGGGATGCAGGTTGGAGGTTTTATGAAACCCCATTCACCAAACTACCCAACTCCAGGGGGGCAGACAGCTCCCCATTTTCCGAGGGGCCCTTAGGAAGCTTGCTGACGGAGTCACCCTGAGGAGGAAGTGGGGAGGAAAACGGAGGGGACGGAAACAGGCAGTTAGTAGCAGTTCAGTTGCAGCATTCCCTCCCACTAGGCCCTGTACTGTTCCAGTCACCCTCACTGCTAAACTCCACCGACATGGCCACTTCGGCAACTCCATATGAAATGTTCCTGATAATCTTTTTCTGCCTCTTGCCCCAGAATAAGGCGTGGGGTAAAAATTGCATCTTGCCTGCCTACCTTCTGTCCTGAAAGGGAGTCCTCTGAGGGCTTAGCGCGTTCCAAGGGTGGCCGCTGGCGGCTCTGAGACTCTGCTCGTGAGATATAGTCAGCCACGGTCACTGGGGGAGGCAAAGATTGAGACGTTGAGAAGGAGCTCTGATATCCAGCCCACACTGCCACCAAACCCAGCCCTGGCTTGTCACAAGGCAGGACGAGTTCCACCCATCCTCAGCAGGAGGAGGGCTCCTGTGGGCAGTGTCAGCTGACCTGGCTGCCGGTCTCCACTGATAGACCCATCGGTCCGGTTACCACGGTTGCGGCGGCGACGGCTGCGATTACGACGCTGGGGTCTGGACTCCTCTTCTGATGGAAAGAAAAATGGTCATATGGTCACTCTCCCCTCCCTCACTGCTACCCATCTCTGACATCTCAGGCCTTAGGCACACTCCTCACCCAGGCCATTCTCTGTCATGTTAGGCCCATCAGACTCTAGGCCTCCGTCCATGACAGTTCTGTCTTCATCAGTGCGACGGCGGCGGGAGCGGCGGCGCCTAGCACTAGCTGGAGGGGGTTCCCCAGGCTCTGAGTCAACTGGGGGCTCTGGTTCAGATGTGTCCAGTAGGCTGTAGGGGTTACTGTCCGGATCCTTCAGCACTGGCCAGGGGGAAGAAAGAGGCAGGGGAGGTAGGTAACAGACAATCACCTTTGCTTTTGGCTGACATTCATAACCCCAGTTGTCTGGTACCTGAGCTAATAGATGAGGAGTTGTATCTTGAGGTGGGTCGGGTGGTAGGTGGGGGTCCCCTACCCCGGCCCCCAGTCAGCCGCCTCCGGCTTTCTTCCCCCCGGGTTGGGGGGTCCCGGTCACCAGGCCCAGCTCTATTGGGCTCCTCTCTCTTCTCTGACTCAGTCTCAGAAGCTGTGGACGGGTCTGAGCTGGGGCCTGAAGAACACAGGGATTTATTCAGGGCCACCCCTCCCACCCAGGACTCGTCACAGCCCCTGGAACAGAGAAGTTCTCTCTTTCCCAATCCCCCAGCCAATCACCTCACCATCTCCTCCATCTCGACTCTCTCCAAGTTTCCAGGCGACCCTCTGCCTCTCCCAGTGCCCCCACAACTGTCTCACCGTAGGCAGGACCGCTAGTCCTGCGACCTCGGCCTCGACCCCCATAGCTGCCCCCATAGGTTCTCGTGGCGTGGAGGGAGGAGGAGGAGCTCTCGTCAGTGGTATAGCCGGTCTTATCGCTGCCACCACTCCGTCCACTCCCAGGAGGGCGAAAGCCCAGCCCAATCTGCCGAAGCTGTTCATCAATTTGCAACCTCTCCAAGCGAAGCTGCTCCACCTCCTGGTTGGGAAGAAAATGGAGAATGGTATGGAAAGAATAAGGTCAGGGACAGTCACCTTCCTTCATGCGTCTACACAGCTAAGCGCTCAGAAATGCAAGGAAGACAATGGCTGAACAAGGACAACACAGGGATCCAACCTCACAGCCAAAATTTCCACCGAAGGTTCCTATTTCATGGAGACAAACTGAGCTCCCCTGTTCTGAAGTTTATCCCCCAGCAGTCCTTGCCCATGCGCTACAGCCAGCTCCTTCCTCTCCTGACCCTTGGCATAACTACCTGGAGATAGGAGAGGTGATACTCCAGCAGCGCCTGGGCATTGCTGATATTCTCTCGGGTGCCAACAAATATGAAAGGAACCATTCCCTGGAGAACAGAGGGAAGAAAAGATGGACCAAAAATGTGAATAAAAATGGAAATCTTAACCCTTCCTGGTCTCCCAGGGGGCCCACCCAATGGGATCAAAATCTACTATGGGGATAAAAATTGTTGTGCTTCACCCTCCGGAGGTTCCCAGACCTCAGAAAAAAACCCCACTACTTCTGGAAAGCAACCCCTAGACCTGGTTACCCCATACCTCCTCCCTGGGGTTCTTCTTGTCATTATCACCTTCAACACGGACCCTCACCACACCAGATTTATCCACAATCTCCTGGATAACTTTCCCGTTCTTTCCAATCACTTTGCCTGAATGAGTAAAAGAGAAATTAGTTTGTTTTTTTTTTTTAAAGGAAATACAAGTAAAAACAGTGAGATGAAGTCTTTCAGATGTATTGCCATTTTCTTTCTTTCTTTCTTTCTTTTTTTGGAGATAAGGTCTTGCTATGCAGTTCAGGCTGGCCTTGAACTCACTTTGTAGCCCAGGCTGGTCTCAAACTTGCAGCGATCCTCTTGCCTCAGCCTCTGAAGTGCTAGATTACAGATGTGCATCACTATGCCCAGTTTATAAATGGAATTAAATTGAATACATATACAGAAAATGGCACTGGGTGTGGTAATCACAGCACTCAGGAGGCTGAGGCAGGAGGATTGATGTGAGTTTGAGGCCAGCCCGGGCTACAAAATGAGTTCAAGGCAGTTTGACCTGCACAGTAAAACCCTGTCTCAAAAAGGTAGATGGACAGATAGATAGACAGATAAAGCTAAATAACCCTGTCTCAATTTTTAAAAAAATTCTGATTCTAGGTTTCTGATGTTTTCACAGAATAAAATATTAAAATCTCCCATCCAAGTATTAACCAAGCCTGACTCTGCTCAGCATGCGAGATGGGCACATTCAGGGTGGTAAGGCCAGAGACTATAATCTCTACAAGTTTATCCTTCCATTATTATCAATGTCCTACCATTATTATCAGAGTAAGATGACTTGCTCTGTACTTATGAAACTGAAGTCCACAGGACAGTGCCAACCTCAGCTAAAAACTCAGAATCACTTCCAAGACTCGCATTCCCCTCATCTTTTTTCTTTTTTTTTGGCAGTGCTGGGGGTTGAACCGAGAACCTTTGTAATGAGCTACATCCCAATACCTTTTTTGGGATAGGGTCTTGCTAAGTCACTAAATTGCCCAGTCTGGGTTTGAACTCTCAGTCCTTCTGCCTCAACCTCCCAGTGTGCTGGAATTATAGGCTTGTGCCACCACACCCAGCTTTTTGTGTGCGTGCTTGTGATGGCATATCGCTGTTACCTAAGCCGGTCTCAGACTCTTGGATTCAACTGATTCTCCTCCCTCAGCCTCCTAAGTAGATGGGACTACAGATGTGTGTCACTGTACCCAGCTTTC